AGACCGTTTGTGATGGTGGGACCGGAGACCAGGCAACCCAACGGCGTCCCTGAACCGACCAAATCCTGCACGGGCATCTGATACTTTGCCAGTGACGGAGCGTTTTATAGCACCCTTTAATTGCGGCTCCCTATCATCCAAAAAGGTACCTGGAAACTCAATCGGTCTTCCAGAACATTCAGTTTCGAGACTATGGCGACCAGAAGTCTGATCAGATGCAGCATCCCTTTTTCTACTAGTCCATTTATATCCACCACGGTCATCATTCGTAAAAACCATCGAATCGTCGCCAGTAGCATGGCGGAAAATATCGCTTCCAGTTTTGCGTGGCTTCCCATGCCAGAGCCATTTCGGCCGTTCGCCACTAACCAACTGAACAAATCGGTCCATGTCAATGGTTTCAATTTCTGCGATGCCAGCTTTGGCACGTCCGGCAACCATTCCAATGACCATCTCGCCGCCTTTGCCTCCTAACTCTGCAACAGTAGATTTTACTGCGCGAGGAACATTCCAGCCATCACCACTGGCAACCTTTGTAGTGACCCGATGAAGTCGATCCAGAGTCTGTCGGTCGAGCCTGCGAGTTCTATCAAGTTTCTGGGATTTCTGAAAGCTCTCTATTCCTCGTTTTAAAGTCGCCACATCAAAAACGTCCTTGGAAACTGGAGCACCATATGCATGAAGACGGTTCCTCGCCCCCATCACCGTCCCAAGTAAGGCAGACACCGTCGTTGGACCTAGGATTCCATCGCTTGGCTCGATGTTGAAAAAGTCGGTTCCAATGTCAGTCCACCAGTCGTTTATGGCTTTCTCTGTCACGTCACAGAGTAAACCATCCGCGTACTCAGGGGCGAGCTTATCAAAAATCATCAACGCCATCTGGCATTGTTTTACCAGCTCCATGACTGCCGAATATAACGGCACTCGTTCGCTCGTCCTGTATAATTGGTGGAATTTGGCTTGCGTAGCGGCACTAGGCTGTTTGAGATTCATACCAGCTCGTCCCGAACATCCAAGGCGTTTCAGATTCTCGTTCACAACGAAATCTTCTCTATGTCTCTTCACATCGCCATGGGGTACGAGAATTACAGTCAATGCAGAGGGAAAACTGCTCAGATTCGTCACCATCAAAATACCAAGCGGAGTTTCTCGTTTTCGCGAATGAAATTGGGCAACAGCATCGAAGTAAACTTTCAATCGGGGGGACCACGCATTTTCATCCGTTGGAATACTAAGTACAGCTACTATCGCAGTGTTTGAGGGATCGCCCGTGTATGTGTTGATGACGAAGGTAGGATGGACCCTTGAGCACGCCCATTGCTCAACAATGTAGATTTCATAGCCCGTCAAGGTACGTCGCCGGTCCAACACTATTGTAGACGGGTCCTCCTCCAGGTATCGAAAAGCAACAGGGTCTGTAAAAACGAACCTCTGATGACCCTGCTTAGGCGAATCACATTTGACTTCGGTATGAGGAGGTGTCGAATAACCTCTACCGACGCTCCTTTCATCGGGTCGAGGACTCACAGCCTGTGGGGAAAAGGCACTAGGGTCGCTGGGATAGGCCATGGCAGCTTGTAAACAGAATATGAACTAACGCGATATGCTGGGGTCCTTTTGCTAATAGATATATTAAATGATCAGTGGAACAAATTTTTGCCCTAGGAGCTTGTTGGATTGGTCAAGTGGTGTTGTACTGCACCTCTGCTGTATCTGGAATGGCTTTAGCAGGCCAGGACTGAGCGAAATAGGAACCGTCCGCCAAAAAGGCCATTATCGGTTTGATGGAGGATAACACAGTCTGTGGCTAAACATGGGAATCCTCAGAAGCTGTGGTTAGTCCGTGAGAACCAAATACAACAATAATTGGCCCTGTTGGTGTTGTAGTTAGTGTGCTCAAGCACCGACGTCACATGTGGCTGACGTTGTCACCAGACCGGGAGGACTAACTTACCTAGGTATACCGTATCATGGGGAATTGCCCTGTAGAGTTTAGCGCCAGTCTCCGATCGCAACGTCGCCGCTTTCTGGACTATATAAATCCCCTCCCCCCGCCGCTCGAACATCCTCTCTCCATCGTCCCTATTTTCCCTTTCTTTCCTCATAATTCTCTTGTCTCGTGTGTGCCGTGCCCATCCCCTCTTTCCCCTTGGGCCCCACTGCTAGTGTCACCTGGCCCGGCTGTGCCGCAGCTGAACCGTTCTCGACATGGTGACCATGTCCACTTTCCCTTCGTCCCAGATGCAATTTCGCCTCACTACCGTCAAGTTACCCTAAAACCATGCACAGACTGAGGCCCGCTACTGGGATATCTAGTCTGCCCGGGACTGTGGCTGGCTGAGGTTTCCTGTTCATTTTGTTGATCTCATTTTCTTGTCGCATACACGACGAGCTAATGCTCTAGATTCTATATTTGATGTTTTGGGGTTCTGCACATCTATCCTATCAACGCTGCCAATCCCATCCATCCTGTCTGTGCCTTGGTGCTTGTTGTTGTCCTTAATCTCTCCCTTCCGCAATCGGTCGGCAAACCCGATGTTTCTCACCTGTGGTGCACGCCGGTGATGGGCGGCCTCTACTCGTTGAGATGGTACGCCAATGAAAAAAATGCCTCTGCATGGCAGAAACGGTATCTGCCTTGCTGCGCCGCGGACCATTACACGTCAGGCCCTGGCCAGAGCGCAAGGTCTGGAAGGTCTGGTTGGTTGCAAGGGTGACATGTCCAGACGAAGAAAAAAATCTCCCCGACGATTCAAGCCTCGCGGCGTGGCCGATGCATGACGTGGACATGATCCAAACTGCTCCAGTGCAAGTGAATTCTCAGTCACGCTATTTTCTCTCTTGACCAGCAGCAAGATACCGAGCTGACAAAGATAGATGTCCACTGGAAAAGGGGCTTCAGCCTCAGCCTCCTGGGAGCTCAAATCGACCAGGAGAGAAAGGGGCGATGCGACAGTGATGCGACGTCCGAGTTTCCCCATTTTCCCGATCCGCACTTCGATGATTTAACGGATGGTCGCATGACAATTATCTAGCACCCCGTCAGTCAGTGCTACAGTTTAGGAAATAAAAAGCGAGAGGGGTTACGATCTTCCCTTGCTTTCTGCGTGGACGGCGGCTGGCGTTGCATGGTGATATGTGACACTCATTTTCCTGCCTTGTTTTACGAGGATTTGGCCGACCTCCCCTCCGTGGCGCCAACGTTCCTGCACCATGGCGATTTCTTCCTGCAGGGACAATGTGGTGGAAGCGAGCAGGTAGAATGGCACCAGCAGGATTTCTCTCATTCGCCGTGTTGAGATCGTCGTAAACATAAAAAGGTGCCAAATTCCCGACCAAAATTGTCGCTACAAAAAATATCAGAGCACGAGCACAGCAAGCGCACCCCAGATCCCATCATTGCAAGCAGCGATTCCAACTCAGACAATGACACCCTCTCTGCCGGAACATGCTGCGGCACGCGAGATTCCAAGTAGGTACAACGGCCCTGAGTTGTCGGTACAAAATCTATCAAAATCTGATCAGTATTCGAACAAGAATCCTTGGCAGCGAGCTTCTATGATCCCCAGAGGTCGCCTAGATCAAGTCCCCCGACTATGGACCAACTTCTGTCACAATTTGTCCGCCCGAGCCTTCCTCGCTCGGCCGACGGCGAACCTGGATCGTCACCGGACAACCCGATTGATCTGGATGATAGACCGGATGAAGAACACGACACGGAATTTCTCATTGAAGATCGAGAATCGTCACCCCTTGGAGGCGACGCCGAGCGTGAGTGCGATAGTGAAACTGGTGATGGAAGGAGCAGGGAGGCAACGTCAATTCGGGACTTGGAAGGGGAGCCGCAGACGCAGCCACAGTCGGGATCACGGCCAACAGGATCCCCCCAGCCAGTACCAGAGCCAGAGCCAAAGGCGGTCATTGCATGCGAACGTGAGTTTCCCTGATAGCTGTGGGCTGCAGAGGGCATATATTAATGGATACAGGAGGCCTCGGCTGCGTTGGCAGCGGCAAGGAGAATGTTGAACCATTGCCGCCACGGTCCATTTCCGGTGCACTGCCAAATAACATCTCCGAGGACGGACCCTCGAAGGAAACCCATGCCAGAGTCGGCGACTCTTTCGCACCCCACCTTGAGCCAGACACAAGCGGCCCCCATATCCTGCTACATCGTGAGGCTAGGGAAGGGCATCTTGAATTTCTCCTGTGGGCGCCCATATGGCAGTCGGAGGATGAGATTGCGAAGGTCCATCCGGATCAGCTCAAGCGATACAAGGAGAGGTTGGGCGTCGGGCCTGCAAGAAGGGCCTCTCAGGCGAGAAAGCGAGCACGGTCCCCTTTTCCAGAGCCTAGGAGATCATCACGTCAGAAAAAGGCGCGGCAGTGCTAAGTATAGGTTCTGTCGAATGGGAGTCAGCGAATTACTTTTGTTTCATTGTTGTCTTGTATGCTTGTCTTGCCGCTATATCTGGCTAACTTGAGGTTAGAGGATCTGAAAGGTGAGGCCTTGTATTTATCCGGCTTGTATTGTTGAGTGATTAGAATCTGCCCAGCCAACACTGAACGCTATATATATGATAGTCATATTGGATTACATCAAGTACAAAAATTCTAGCGGAGCACTGGTGACCCGATTCGGTCGCTAGTCAAAATGTCCAATTCCACCCGGTTGGGCAGCTGATTCGCTGCCTTTCTTCCTCCAGTTGCTCTGGCTTCCTGCGCAAACAACTTGTAAACGCTGAAGAGGTTCGTCCAGACTGGCAATGTTTTGTAGCTGTGCCAGCTTCTGAAGAATGCCTGCCACACTAGAAAGGATTACATTATAACTTCCTAACAATTTTGCGTTTTTATTCCCGTGTTTGCTTCCCATTCATCACATAAAATTAGCATACCAACAAGCACAATCACTGTAATACATAACAGAATTCTAAGTCCAGATCATTTGATGCAAAGTTCCATGAATATCCATCATATCCCATTCATCCCGTTCTCTATGCTTTGTTGTTATCCCCCCTATAATTTCTTTAATGGTGAGTAAGTCAACACGGGTGTGTATATAGGAAATAATTTCTTTGATATCTACAATTTTCCCAACCGGAACAGTTATTATTGACTTTTCGTCAGGAGGAGCGGATATCATGAGATTATTTGATATAGGAATGAGGCTCATGGGGCCCTTAGCCCAAAACCGAGTGTGATCACCTATTCTCAAAATTTTTGGATTTTGAGGGCTGCCATACAGATCAGTTCCATATTTACCCATTTAAGGTAATATCACACTCACATCTGCCTTACCTGCATGTAGTATTGTTTTAATCTTCGAAGCATCCAGAGGCTCCATGCTTTCCTTCAGAGTAATCAGGTGTCGCTCGCCATTCAGTGACTTTATCGGCATGTTGTTTTAAATAATTAAGTTCGCCTTCGCATTCTGGAGGCGAGGGGGTTCTTCTTTGTTTCGGTCGGCATGTTGTTTGGAAGATACATGTGAGGCGTGATAATGAAGCGTAGGAGACTTCTCCCTTGTGATCATTAAGCTGGATTACATTAAATATCCCTCAGCTGCCGACATGCTAATACAACCAAACCACTTAGACGTCCCACAAAAAGCTTAGTTGGCGATACCAGAATATCTGAGCCTTGAACCATTCTTCTGCCCCAGGGAAAACCCCATTTCGCGATGCAGTTTCATATTTCTCCACTGCTATCATAGCAGCTTGTCTTTTACCGTGATGTATGTATGTATGTATAGGTTTAACGTCCCGGAGAAAACACGGGCAGCGCCCGTGTTTCAGAAGCCTCCCGAAGGGCATGGAGACGTGCTACGCTGGAGAGATTTCTATGTACACAGAGAGAGAGAGAAAACAGAATCCAGGTGGCAACTCTTGAGAAGACTCAGCTCATTGCAAAGGATTTTTCTGAGCTGCGCATCCACTTCTCAGATGAGCTAGACGATCATTTATGCCGAAATGGACTGCCCTTGTATGTGAATATACAAAGTCAAATTTTGCCTCAGCTGAACTCGCGACCCCGATATCGTATTGGCCTTCGCCCAGTTGGATTATTGGTCCGACATTGTTGGAATCAAATCCATTATCCGCAATGTGATCTTCGAGATAATTGTATTCATCGTCGGGCGCTTTCAGGTCTATAACCCTCTTACAGGGGCGGTCTTGTGGCCAGCAAAGGCGGACAGTAATAAGTTTTCCCTCAAATCAACGGATCTACTTTTGCTCTTAGATAGTGAAACTTTTTATATCTAAGGTAGCAACTTACCCGCGGCGACAAGGAGGTATTGAAGGCATTATCACGAGCTGAGCCTGGTTCCTGTCTCTGAGACCTGTTAGCGCAGGCGTCAACAACTGGAAATATTTATCCATACCATGTTGTCCAATATTTGAAGCCTGGGAAATTACAAAGTTTCGCATTCAAGCAGGGTAAAACTGAAATAGAGGCATTAAACAGATATTGATGTCTGGGGTTATTTATTTCTCTTTGCTTCTTCATAGGGAAGTTTGTTCCACGAAATGAGGTTTAGATCACTCTCCACAGAAGGAGCATGTTGTCGAACCACAAAGTGCCAGGTTCTAGACCTCAAGATAAAGCAAGCCAATGGTGAGGGACAATCGCTGAGAGGCTTGCAGGTCCGCGACTTTTAGTCTACAGATATGTCGAGCTTACAGAGGGCTTGCAGATCCCGCGACTTTTAGTTCACTACGCTGCATCAGAACCTGGAGAATGGGATAATATTTGATCTCCTGTTTCGCCTATTTGACAAGGGCTTGCAGATTTGGCGACTTTTAGCCTAGAGATGTAAGCTACCCTCCCACCAAAATGCCATTGAACAACTTCGTCGATGCTGAGCTAAGTTTGGTTACAGGGGCGATTGTGAAAATTTCGACGTCCAGTACGATGTTGAAACTTTTGGTCAAAGCGTGATGGGTGATTGGTACTACATTCTATCCCCGCAGCGCTAATATCTGGAACTGTTAACAGCACAATCAATTATAATTTTGTTAAGACATCCTCGCACACGACCTCCGAAGAGACTGGCTTATTTAATTCTGGTCAATTTTAAGCCAAAAATGTAGGGCCGGTGATTATCCCTTTCCTTCCTGCCTTCACCCCGTTTCAAGCGCACCGCTAACCATGCAACATATACGCATCCATTACCCTGTCCAGGGGGCGATGTTACTTTCAGGAAGCTCTGGTGGTCATGTTAGGGTTTAAACAGAAATATGGCTTTTCCAGTCGCCGTTTGGAGGAGCAGATTGAGATACCATCGATTCGCTGTCTTCGTATCTGCATATGCAGGTGGTTGGGATGTGAAGCTGACGTGCCTCCAGAGAGCTCTAACAAAAGAAGCCCTCTGCTTATGCCAGCGGCTCCCCATCCTAGCCAACCGTTTATTGAAACCCCGATTTCATCTAACATAAATAATCGGCGATTCGTTATCCCATTGCATATTGTCAAATCTATTCTCATATCTGAGCCCGCCTTTCGGAGTACCTAATTGTCTTGTTCTGCACACATAGTAGCGAAACATTTGCGAAACATTTGCGCTTCACAACCATGGCAGTTCTATATGTAGCCATTTACCGGCCCACAGACAACAAAGGCACCTATCATTGGGCGCTCTTTCTCGAGGACGGCCAAGATCTGACAATATCCCAAGCCTGGGGAAGCCCGTTCTCCTTCAAGTACGATGAACGCAAAGCGGATCCAAGGAACTCCAAACACCACGAGGAGAATATATTTGTAGCCGAAATCGATGACACGCAAGGCTATCATGAGACGGTTCGCGCACAGGAAATCAATAACGAGTTACTTAGCTGGGGTTGCCAGCAGTGGGTACTCGAGGCGCTCGAGTCGAGTCCCTGAACGACAGCGGCATAATCAGCGATTATGCACATGCGGAGGCGAAAGAGAAGCTCGATTTGATCTTTGGAGAAGAAGCTGACGATTAGCTGGTAAGCTCTAATACGCCGGAAATCAAGAGAGCTAAGAACTGACTGACTTAGAATACCGCTGCTTCCAAATATATGGTCATCACTCGTCTCCATTGGGCGTGGAAGGATGCTGAGAGCTGGGCGGAAATGGTTTGGGGTTTGGGGTGATGTATTTGAAAATAGGGCAAGGTAGTCCATGACCGTGTGGTTACTCTGCAAAGTAGGCGTACCAATGATTTGTTCGCTGCAACTGAAATAAGCATTGTCACTACAAGAGTTTCTGTATATAGTTATCGATAGCCAATTCCGCAGTATATTTGCCAATACCCTTTAGTGGAAGGAAAAAGAACCAGTCGCCTCTACGAAGAGGGAACATGGTATTAAGAGCCTTTAAATACTCCCAATACTCTGGATAAGCTCCGCCCATTTCCCAATCAATAATTCCGGTGATTATTAGACCTCCATGTTGAGCACGGCTCACCATGATATTTCTTGGATGTAAGTCTCCGTGTGTTAAGACGATGCGATGATCTTCCCGAAGCATGGAACGGACAAACTCCACGTATGGTTCCGTCTTGAGCGGGTCAGGATTTCCCAGGAGGAAGGCGTTGAATTGTCCTTCATTTTCGATGTATTCTGGGCTGGTCCGCGTCCACATCCTCGTATCAACGCAGCGCGGGGGATTCCCAATGCCCAGATATCGGGAAGGAACCGGAAGGCTTCTCAACTTCTCCATTATGGCGTTCAGCTGATCCTGGATGCTACGCTTTTCCTCATTAGACAGAGAATCCCATTGCGTATCCAGAGTTGTACCTTCAACAAAACTCATGAATATGTATGTCCTTTTTCCGATGGACATCGCCCCAAGAGGCCGAGGAGCGGGAATATCATGGGACACTTTCCATATGTGGTCAATAACATCGAAATCCGATAGAGGCAGATCGATGCCGGTCTTGACAACGACTTGTTCACTCAATTGGATAACAGCCAACAGAAAGCGCTCCCAGAGAACTTTCCCCTTCAGTAGCGCTTGTGAAAGACCGGCGGAGATCAAAAGGCTCTCCTGGCCACCACCAAGGAGTAGTTGAACCTCAGGCGCGAGAGGTCGGTGAATGATAGGTTCGTCTGGCGAAACTGAGAATATTTCCGCTCGTCGTCTAGAAATCGCCGCTGTCATCGCGTTGCCGTGATGTTCACTACTACCTTGAACTTAAGAATCGTCAGTGTTTCCGTCTGTATTATTTTAAAGTGAAAGCGGGGATTACCTTTTCTTGCTACACAAGTTCTCCAGTTGCCGCCGCTTAAATGGATACCGACGTCCCCATTTTGTTACGACTTGAGTGAGATCAACCCACTCTTTTTTAGCCAACTTGCTTTGCAATTCAGCAACAAGCGACTGATTTAAATGACTGTAGCCTTTGAGCAGATCTCCATCATGCAACTTTGAATCCTCGTCCACACTTGTTGCATCTTGAGCAGGACGCTTGTTGGCCGTCGCAGGTACCATAACGATATGGCTAGATATGGGGTCGGGGTAACTGAACGTCTTCAAGGGTTTTAATTTTTCGTATCAAGCGAAAGGAGCAGTTATCCAGGGATAGTTGACGCACAGTACTGAGTAGTATTTTGATTAACAATCCGCAACGACGCAACGTGCATCGAAATTGAGGCCAAAGATTTTGAGAGATTCCCCCGAGGAAAATGCTAGATATAGAATGTGTTGGCCCTAGGCTGCCTATCACGGACTAGCGCACCGCACATATATCCGTCAGCTGCCGACATGCTAATACAACCAAACCACTTAGACACAGGTTATGACCCAGATTGCTTATTTTTTTTATTAAATCTTCCACTGCCCATCTAACATCTTGTGAGCTGCTACATTGATCAGCAGAAGGGATTCTGATGAAGTCTAGAAGAGCCTTGATTGCAAAAAAAAGATATTAAAAAATTGATTGATATAAAGGGAAGAATGTCTTCTAGAAATTGAGCTACCATGGGGATGAATACTCCAGCTAGCTTATCTCAGCGAGCTCAGACCCTCTATGGCTCCGGTTGCAGCAGCATGACACTAAACTACTTTAATTACAAGTCATGTGCTCAGAGCAATCCGCGCCAGAGGGTCTGAGAAGAAACGGTTCATCCTTCTGTGGAGATTGTTGAGATTTTCATAGATTCTTCAAATTGTTCAACTTTGACTTTCAATTACATAATCATCATACATATTTGATATTTGTGAACCACCTTAGCTTGTAGCTAAAGAAAAGAAGAATATAAATATATAATTTTTATATTAAAAAAATCAATACTTAATATAGATGTATCTTGTTGACAATGATCACTTTTTTTCTGATTGAAATCAAGTAAATAGCAGATTGTTCCTGTGTTTAAAAAAAAATGAGTTGACTTTGAGGTGATACTTCATATCTAAGAAATGGGAATATGAAAATAAAAATTGATACCATCGCGAGAACATTGATTTTCCTAGGTTTCAAGGTGGTACAGAGATGCTGAATAGATGGAGTTGGTTTGGTATTCTCACCCATGTCTAAGGTATTGTCACACCCTTGGTTGTGCCAAGGCTGTGTGGCGGCTCCGCACGGCCCATCGCTTCTCTTCGGATAATCTCATCTATCCCATGATGTCATGCAGATGTCTGAACTGGTTTTCAACCATTTTATGACATCATTCAGATGCAATAGAAGAGGATCTGATTGATGGGATATGAGAATTCTGTTTCTATACAGAGTCAGTAGATTTCTTCTGACAGATCAATGCAGCATCACTGTGAAGCTGCTTCAGCTACTCTTGCTTATAAAGTGAGGAGAGAATGATTGTCTGTTATCTATATAGAATAGCTAGATGCTGGTGTTCTATTTCAGAAGTCAGTGATTTTGTCTTTTATCTTTTAACAATAAGATATCAGAGTTATCACTGTCCTCATACAATATTCTTAGTGTGCTGAGTATCTCTGATAGTTCAGTGTTTGTATAGTATTCTACGAGTTCGCGGTTCAAGTGAGATAATCAAGCTCATTCATAAAGCTTCCCATTATATACCATCCTCCTCTGTGCCGCTGCCGAGTAGCAACCGCCTCGGCGCCGTCACATTACAGGTATATAATAGGCTCTGTCAACAAAACATCTTTTCTCATGCACTGCTACCTAACATCAGTAGTGTATCTTCCCCAGCAAAACATCATCTAGTAATCCTTGTCACCAATAGGCTTTTGACCAGCCACGTGAATTGGATTGCGTCGAGGTTGAAACTGCTTTGCGTGACGTAGCTTAGTACTGTTCTTGAAAAATACTTTTGCGTCACATGCTTAGCGAGGCTACCATTAATCACCCCTCCCAAAAAGCACTGGAGCCATGCACTTGCCCCTCCACTTTTAAATGCACCAGACATTCGCAGGTGACACATTCATCTCACGCTTTCCCCGACACAACAGCCTCGTTAGATATACTGTCATATTTCATCCAGAGAGTGCCTCGGAATTTACTGTCGACTGAAAGTCTAATTTCTTCGATCAAGTCTTCCACCATCGACAGCTCTACGTCTCATACTGCAAAGGTAGAAGCCACTACGCTGTCCATAGCTTCTTCTTATTCTTATTCTTATACCGTGTACTATAGGCGATATTCACGTTCCTACTAGTCGCATTATATCTCCTTTTGACAAGCAACCGAAAGTGCGAGGTTCTTCAGGTAGATTTTATTGTTGATCATGGGGGTGAGATAATTCAAATGTCCATTTTACTCCGAGTGAATTAGCTAACATGTATCTCTATACAGAGAGGTGACGAAGCCCTTGCTGGGCGAGAAGAAAAGGATATTCCGAGCCATCGCTTCCCTCCAGATAATACCAAAAAACGGACGATATACTTTAAAGGCGAATATCTCTCGATCTTCAACGAAAAGACACAACACCGAAAAACGTTCGAAGAAGACATAAGTGAATATAAGGAATATGAGGTGCCTGCTGGGTATACATGCTACATCAGAGCAGCTAGCGTATATTTCAAACTCTAGGAGGAAATTGCACGTTGGACCGCGAAGACATCATTCAGAAAATACCCGTCATTGTGACCACACCAGATAGTAAAAGAGACATCCTGTGTCTCATCCTTCGGAAACAAAGTAGCCAGGCATCCTGTCGTGTCCATTTCTTGACTTCTTTCCCATTTCCATAGCCGGCTATTCTCGACGGCTGTTTTAAACGGCTCCGGCAAGTTAGAAATGCTGCTAGCAGGCGCGTTCGTGAACATGGACTTCATTTCTGTTAAGACTATTAGTAGCACATATATATAGCTGAAACTTCTCCTTACCCCTCTTTTCATTGGATGGTGAATCAACCGCTGTCAGTATCTCATGCCGTGAGGGAGAGTGATGCGCAGTATCATAATCCAGTATGGAATGCCGCCTATCGCCTGGAATTCGCCTTTGGTCCGTCTCCATACGTATGCGTTTCCTTGCCGGCTCTTCCTCTGTAAGGTTCCGTTCAGTTGTAATGCACCGCGTCTCGATATCATGGTAACCTGCATTTTGATCAACTTCGCAGCAGGCGAACGGTGGCAGAAGACTCACTGTTGAGAAATGATATTATATTTGGTCGTCTGGGCGCGTTTGCCAAAACCTTCCTTATCTGCTCTCGTGCGACCCAGTCGCGAGGAAGTTCTTGCACAGTCAAATACCTCCGCACGTTGTTGAGAAGCCAGTCGTATTCTTCAGCTGCTAATAGGGCTAATCCGCTGCAAGATATCATAGAGAAGATTGCGGTCTGGCAGCCTAGCTTCTGGAGACTAGCCCAGCGAGAGTCTCCTTGACCATCCCGCTTAGAATCGTCTTCTGACAACTTTTTAATATTGTAGCTCAGCGCTCGCATTGGTAAAGCTTCTCCACGTCGTACGAGTCGAGCAACTGGCCCAAGTTTCTCCAAGACAGCGATTTGGGTTGCAAGATGTGAAACCTTGGCTTTCAAGGACGTAAAGGTACCTTCGCCATCGCAGTGGAATTGAAACGTCTCGGTGACGAGTGCATCCAAATTTGAAAGAATTCGTTGCGACATGGTGGTGTCCATTGCATGGCGAAGACTAGGCGCAGCGAACGACAACTTCTGTAGTTAAGTATGAGCATGTGCATTTAGCCTTAGAAGCGAACACGACATTGCGGGATTGATTGAGATTAAAATTAGCAACATGGGGAGCGATGGCCAATAAGATCCCGTACGACTTTCTCAGAAGCCCAATCAGTTTTAAAATCGCATATGTGCAGTCATTTCCAACTTCGAGTGCATGCGTTCGCTTCGAGCCAATCAAGCCGATATTAGATTTCAGCGTACTAATGCGGGGTTGGTTTATGACTAAGTTTGAGCTTGTAAATAGAGACCTTAAAGCGAACACTGAAAGGCGAAGCTCAAGATGGACAGCTCGTTCTCAATCTCATAACTCTCCAATAGGAAAATGCAGTAGAGCTTGGTGTGGACACTCAGCGACTCTTCATTCGCTACGGCTCATTACCCTATCCACAAAGGGTTAGTGCTCTAAATAAAGGGCACAGTTTTACATTCGTCCGAGACTGCTCGATCTTGATGCATACACACAGCTCATCCACTCTTCATTGGTTATGGCTCATTACCGCATCCGCAAAGGGTTAGTGCTATCCCCTCGTCTGGCCGCGAGGACACAATTAGCGTATTTTTTAGCGTGTACATTAGCGTATTAAATACGCGAAAACTACTGGATTATATGAGAGATCGGCCCGTATTTGCATGTTTTAGTGTAGTTTATGTAATCTATTGATCTAGCCCTAATTAATATCATTTGGAATGGAACTCCTTCCAACATCCTCTCTTCAA